ATATAATTTTTATTACACACAATATACCTGTATATTTATATACATGTATACATGTATACATTATATACATGTATACATAAAATGTATATAAATATACCCCTACATAAAATTTTTTCTTTTCGTAGAACTAAAATAAAACAATTATTTTTTAAAAAGAAATTTAATTTAAAATATTGTATAACATGAAAAAATTGTAAATAAGTCTTTAAATATCATCTCGTATTTTGTAAATCGTTTATATTTTGTTATATGATTTGATTAATCCTGAGTTACTCGCTAATGAAAAGTTTATTTTATCTTTCTCAAGAAAATGAGGGAGGAAATGGTAAAGAACTTGTCCTGTCATTAATGAATCTACAAACTAAAAAGTATCTAAGCAAATATAATATTTGTATCATCTGTTATTTAAAAATTATGACACTTATTTAATACATATTAATAATTAATTGATAAAGTTGTAATTAAAATTGTTACTAATACAAAAACTATTTTCCTACATACATACAGAAATCATAGATACAAGGCAGAAGAAAAAGCATTCGTCACATTGTATGAGTTAGATAACTCATACAACATCTATTCACACGTGTTTTGAGTGAAGATATTAACGCAACTGTTCTCTTCAAATAGAATTCATTTTGTTTTATATTTGATAAATTAATTAAATCTATTGTAGCGATATGCTTCGTAATAAATTTCCATAGTGTCATGCTTAACGTAATCATTAAGAGACGTTATGATTAGAAGCTGTAATAAACAGTTTCACGAAAACAGTTTCATCTTTGTAACACTCGACTTAAAATCAAAATATGAGATGTATGAGGTACGATTGTAAAACTGCGCGCTGATGTATTCATGAGAATTATATTTATAATAATTCGTGTAATTAGGTCGACAAAGTTACAAGGTAAAGATTACATTTCAGTGCCTCAGAGATAAACACTGTCAAATCACATTTTTTTGTAAAAGAGAGATTTTTACATTTTTTAGCCAGTTTGTTAAACTAATTCAAAAGATATAAAAATCTTATTTTTTTTACAAAAAACGTGACTCAATATTGTTTATCTCTAAGGTAACCAGTGTAACCATTTTAGCTTTTAATCCTATAATGCATATAATAAATAAAACGTGCTTACAATTAACGTTAATTATCGCGCTATTATTACGTGCAAAAAAAGAGCAGAAATCAGTTTTTTGGCATGGGATCTAATTTCATTAAAATTATTTCAAATTCGCACTTCAATTTCGAGCATTCCTGCGGCGCAAAAAGAAGTGAATTTTGACGGAATTTGCGACGCGCTGCGAATTTGCGAAGCATAGACGCAATTTTGACAGCGCCAGTGTACAAAATGCGGGGCAATATATACGCGGGATATATCAGGCTGTTTTGACCATTATTTCGCGTCCGTGTGTTGTAAATATTTCATGATTCTCATAATGCCGGCCTTTATTATCGCGGCCGCGTTTGTTCGCGCATCGCCGCGTGCCGCACCGCGCACGGGCGATAAAACCGTTCATTAATTAGCCGGCGCAAAAAGCAGCGTTATTTATATCGCCGGGCAGGAGCTTCTTTTTTGCCCTTCCTTTGCTCTTTCTCTATGTCGCTCCATTTTTTTTCTTCTTCCGCTCAAAGTCGCGGCTGCGGCGGCGGCGGCGGCACAAAACGCACGGCGCGTCGCGCCGCGCCGCCTTCGGTGATGCGGCGGGAGAAACGCGCGCTAATTAAAACGCCCAAAGTGTCGTTTGTCATACAGGCGCCGATTATCCGCGCCGTTGCCTTCGTAAATTTCTAATTTAGGCCACGCCGGGGGGATTTGTTCGCGCGTATGCAGCACGCGCGATCGACTGCACGACGTTGTGCATAGTTACAATACCTCGCTACGGTATGCCGGCGGGCTAACGTCGCGCGCGCTGCACGGAAGCGTTTCAATTATTTTACAGCTCGGCGAATTTACATAACGGAATAGCCTGCGGTCCCGAGTTTATTATATACCGGCATCAATTAGTTATAACGCATTGGTCCTGCGAGCGGACGGGCGCGCGCGTTTGCTCGGAGAACAGATTGGAGAACGGATCGCGCCGTGTTTTTCGACGGTCAGCTTGTCGGTCAATTAAAGCCGGCTGAAAAGAGAGACTTGCATCGCGTGCATCGTGTGATGTCAAACCAATCGAAATGCTGTCTCCTGTCGAACGAAACAAACCGTCGTGTTACGTGTATTTGTTCGTTGTTGCGAAAGGACGGTTTTTAGAGGAACGACCGTGTGATTATGTCGATACCAAAAGACTACATAAAATTCCCTTAACGTTCAAAGTGCTGCTACTTGTTAAACGGCCGCACTTATCGTAACGATAACTCGTTATTTATGCCGTATTATGTTAACTCCTTATTTCGCATAAACTACGGGAGCTTTCTAAGTAGCCATGTATATTCATACGCGCATGTACGCCGAAACTTACTAACCCTATTTAATGCCGAAATATTGTCGAGGATTTACATGTGGGTCTAATGAGCAGATTGGATCTAATTCTTTGACTTACAGCCATACCGTAAATTTTGGGCGGCCGTCAGATGAGCGTGTAGATTTAAGAATTACGCGAATATTCGCCGCATTGTAAGAGGAATTTACGCACGAAAATGTAATCGGATACGCAATTTAATTTATTGTTACAGTGATAAAAAATATATTAATCCAAAACAATATTACTTTACTCAAGAAAATTATTTATTAGGTGGCTCCTAATAGCTTATTGACTTAAATTTAAAAAATAATAAGCAAATTAAAACATGTATTGCTTTAATTTAAGTATTTATTAAATATCACAGAATAGATCATTTTAAATTAAAAAAAAATTTATTTTAATTCTATGAAATGTTTACTAAGATGTAATTTTCACAGCGAAGAAAATTGAATTTCTTATTTAACAAAAACAATTATTTCATTTGATAAACAAATCTTTATTTTAACGTAGAAAATGTAACGATTTAAATTTATTTACTTAATATAACACATAGATTTACTTGAAATTTGATATTTTCATTTAAATAGAATAAATATTTATTTCAGAAAAAAGTAATTTTTACTTAGTTTACTTAGTTTAAAAAATTTTGATTGTCGGTGTAGATATATTATTTCGTGGCTGGCAAATAATGAAAAGAATTAAATACTCTTTCGAATAAGCTACACGAATTTGTGACAAAGGCTTGAAATTATACGACTAGAAAAGATTGACGAAACAATTTTCCGTATTTAAATAAAGCGATACCGCAGCTTCTAATTTTATTTGTCGAAAAATGAATAATCTCTGTTGCAGGTCGTTGATGTGACGAGCGAAATAATAGAAGCGGCAAAATAATGAAGACAGTGACGAACAGATGAAGTATATACGTATACATATATAAATATGGATATATTCATAAGAATACTTTACTTATAAGATCCATGTAATTTCAGAGTGTAAAATAAATGCAAATTGCAGAACGTATGTTATCTCGAAAATATGTTGCGATATCATTTATTATACATTAGGTAATCGCGTGTGAGTCGCATAAGAACGTAATTAAAATGTATGTTTTTTATATGACGTACTTAAGAATAGTATAACGTAAATGTCTTGCAAATTTATTAATGTTGTCGAATAAATTCATTATTTTTACTGATTACTATAAGGATTCTGCGCGAGAAAGATTAATCTATTAATTACTAATAGAATTATTGATAAGTTAGTTAATTTAATTTAAACATTTTAGATTTAAATAAGCATTGTTGTACGCACGAAGAATTATTTTCACGATCATAATCATCGTATATTTTGTGTCTGTACATGCAGATTTTTGGTGCGCGAAGTCTCAGCATAAGAACGAAGATTTTACGTATACGCTAAAGGCGATCATTTTATGTGTAGAGTATATGTATTGAATTGCACTTGTGTGTGACTTACACACTAAGATTATTGCTCAAGCGTAAGAATAATTCTTGAATATTATATCGATAAATAGACGTGTAAATTTTACTTTTTTATACGGGCAAGTAAGCGTTTAGTGATGCACGTGGCGATAATTTGGACTGCGCTGTACCAATTACTGATTAAGGAGAGAACACGTGAAATTGTTATATTTTTGCAATATTTCTGTTGTAACTTCTATTGTAATTATAGATGATTGCAGAAGAATTACGGAACTATATCACGGCGAAAAGAGAGATTGGTGTGTACATACGTACATAGTATAATGTAAGTACACATACCTATGATTATAATTCGAGCGATGTGCATATGTATCAGTATCGATTGCTTGTATCGACTGTCTCATTTATTATGTAATTGATGTCAGTTTTCGTTCAACGTTTCTCATGTTATTATTAGAACGGAATAGCAACAACTCAGATCTTTACTGAACGAAAATAAAACTCATATAAAATAACTAAGGTTTATACTATGTCCAACATACATGAATTTTTATCTACAATTTTGCAGAAACACTCCAGCATCCCGGTTAAGAAATATTTTACTCCTCGCAGAAGCAGTACATACTTATCACAATCTTGCATTACTATAAATGCCGTGCTTACTTAGTTTTCATTAATATTACATTCGAGTCACGGCATCAACAATATCGAAGTTTTTTTGAATATTATTTGAAACATGTTTTTGTTACATTTTATTTACTTAGAATTCAAAATTTAAATTAAAAAGAGAACTGTATTTAGAATTCTCTCTTATATAATACATCGCGTAAGTATACAAGAGAACTCGTGGTGTAAGTATATAATTTATGAAATTCATTAAGTCATTGCTCAAGAAAAATCTTCGCAAATTATTGATTCGCGTTATTTCTGTCGAAAATCCAAAATTCATAGGAGATTAAATTCTTCAATGTTATGTCGTCCTCGACGAGATATTTCAATGTAATAACTGACACAATAAATGTAATACCAATATAGCAGTACTCCATTACACAATAGCTGCTACGCTGTGTCTATTAAATGGCCGCGAGACTGCCGTTTAGTTTAACGCAAAATTATAGCTACACAGTTGGAGAGAATATGATAACATCCTCGTATCCCACTTCCTGAAGCTGTCACGCACCATGCTGTTTCATGAACGATCGAAATTAATACCGTATTTGTTTCTTAACGGAGGTACATCGGAATTCTAATGTGATCTACCAGTTGGATTTTAGTAGAAATAATCGAGATTGTATAATATTTAAAAAATCTGCGAGTATTTATAAAAATGTCTGAAACCTAACGAAACCTACATTGCTTCTAAAATATAATAAGGTACCCTCGCAGGTGTATTTATGTTAATATAAGTAAACATATAATCAGGTATTTGCAAAATATAACATTGTTTTAATTTATTAATTTGTGTTTAACTATACAATAATATAAAAATATTTTAAATTACCTCAAATAAATAATGTTTAGTAAAAGTCAAACTAGAAGAATTATTTGAATTTCTCAACTAATTTTTATGACTTATAACATGAATAAATGTCCAACATAATGTGAGAGAGTTTACGAAATATGAGAAATTCACTAAAAATCTGTATAAATGTATATTTTTAAAAAAACTATGAAAATTTATAGTTACTATATGTTTAAAATTTAATATGCAAGTGCCTTGCATCTGTCAAGCAATTATAAATTATTGTATATTGATGCAACAGAGAATTTATGTCATTACAATGAACAATAAAATAAGAGCCAACCCAGTGAGAAATGATTCGTCGATTGATGTCGAAATAATGTCGATTCGACGTCAATTTAACGGTGTCGATGTCGATTCGATATCGTTTCGACATCGATCGACGAATCATTTCTCACTGGGAATTTTCCAGTTTTCTTATTAAACGACATAACATTAAAGAATTTTAAGAACGTAGCTTGGCGAGAAAAATATCGGAAGCGTCAAAATCGAAGATGAATGAATTGTGAATAGCAATAGTGATTTCTTTTGTTTACACACCGGCGCAGTTTGATCGTTCAACAAATAAATTTACTTTGAGAGGTTGAGACAATTATTCAAAGTACCACGTCGAGCAAATGATAAAAACCGAATAATAAAATTTTCATTTAAAACTGAATAGCGACCACGGTTTAAGCTGAATGGTATACCCTTCAATTATTGAAAAAAATATTGGATTAATTAACTGAGACCTCGTCTGGTTTCTCCTCATTTTATTATTTGTGAGATCAAGCAGATTAACTTTTCCTATTGTGACTTTTGTCTTAAAAAGTGGTGATTTTCAGATCTATTCTAGGTAGCAGAATGGCGTCCAAAAACGAGCGACGTCTGCCGACATTCAAACTTTTTATTTCATTTTTTACGTCACTCCGTCATTTAGAATCTTTTCATTCGTTAAATATGCATTATAGAAGTCATCTTCTTTATGAATCCAGAATTTATTTTATTTTAGCAAAAGTTTCATTAGCAAACTCTTATTGGACGCAATTCCTTTCGTTTCAGTTTTTTTCATTATCTTGATACTTAGAAGTAAAATTTTCTTAAAATTTACGAGCAATATATACAGGGTGTCCTAAAACCACCGGAGGTCCTCTTAATGACAGATTCCTTAGAACATTTCCAGACGAAAATCCTAATACAAAAGTGTCGAGGCTATAATAGTTTTTAAATTAGAAGCGATTATTTTTCACAAATGATAGGGCTGAAATTTCGCGCGCTCAGGAACGGCGAAATGACAAGTGATATAAGTGCTCCTATGAATATCGTTCTTTTTATATCACTTGTCATTTCGCCGTTCCTGAGCGCGCGAAATTTCAGCC